CAAAAGGAAAGTTAAAGAAAAAGCAGTAATTATATAATGCTGAAAAAGGTGGTCACTAAATAATATGATAGGTATCTCAGAAAATTTCATTCAGATAGCTACCTATCGGTTACGATGAAAGATAATACTATCCAAGTAAGAGTTCATTCAAAAACTCTGAGAGAGAAGGATGAGCATCTGGAAGGTAAGGTAAACTCGAACATCTGGCCACTTGGGCAGAAGCAATAGGGTCAGGCCTCGTAAGCGCAAGATGCAGGATACGGAGATCTCTAACAATTTGATTCAATACCTTGTGGACTAAAGGAATTGGGAAATAAAGTGGCTAAGAATAAGAATGAACAGGTTCACTTTTTCTAGAAATTGATGACTGTTGTGTGACAGGATGAGACCTAAGGAAAAGTGCGTGATCCTCTAAATCTGAAACACCACGAGTTAAATCACACTTCTAGCTCCGATGGCAGTTAGGCGAAATTAAAACTGTTGCCCATTTTAGATAAAAGCGACAAGTGACCCATTTTTACTGTGCTAGTAAGAGCGCCTCTGAAGATGCCGGCGAAATATATAAAAATTTAATAAGTTAAAGTTCCGATGCTGGAAATTATCATGAATACTTTTACAGAGGATGCAGGACTAGGTACGCTCCACAAAGTCTCCATGCCGCTCCAAGCAAGGTGCGAAAGCGAGGTAAAGTCAACATTATATAGCTAAAAGAAATTGCGACCAAATCTAAGGCCACACCATCTTGGCTTTCCGACCTATTTTTCGTGTATAAATAGGTTTTTGAGATAACCAGATCATTTATATGTGTATTCACCCTGGCCTTCCTTGAAATTCAAATGTGCACTGTAACCCAAGGGCACTCATGGCACAGTGGCGCAGTGGTTAATGTGTTGGGATTATACACTGTCATGGCTCGAGTCCCGCTAAAGATGTTGATAGGACCTAAACGAGGTCGAAACTGCAGTCCACCCCGGATGAGAACAACTTATGGGAAGGCTGTGAAATTCAGGGAAGCATAGGGTTTATTCATAAAATTATGGAAAAATTCAACTACCAGAGTACTCTTATATCCTTATAGAAATGGGGTGAATACACATATAAGCTTCTTATATATATTCAAAACTAAACCTACTGATATCTTCGAAAT